ATAAATAAATAAATAAGTAATGTTTTTAGATAAATAAAAATAGGTAAATAAAAGTTATTAAAAATTTTTGTATAGTCACTTGATTATTTAAAGAAAAGTGTTAAATTTCTTGATATTGATGATCTAACTTTATTAACTTTACTTGTTAGATACTTTTAATGATATTTTTTTAAAGCAAAGAAACTTGTAGAATAGTTTTCTATATAACATCATGGAAAAATACTCATCATAATATTTCTAGCACATCTTGCAATCTAAATTATTTAATGAATAAGATGAATTATATTATAAAACCATCCCGTTTTGGGTCTGATAACATTACAAACGTATGTACAGTTATTCCTAATTTACAAAGTTAACGAAAAAAAAAGTCATTATTTGAACCAAAATTTGATCTTTAAATTACTATAATAAAACAGGAAAAGGTTTTATGTTAATGCTGAAGCCCATACCTACAAGATGTGTTTATATATTTTCATTTAAAAATGGAATAAAATTTGATGAACAATCAATTTTGTCATTACAAACATCAATGAAACATATTTGAAAAAATGTAAATTATTCGCAACGAGGCAAAAACCACGAATAACATCCGAGTTCACCATAATCTTAGGCAGAGCAAACATTTATCTGACAAGAAGCAAACTCTGATTCTTAATTAAATGAACATGGTCATTGCAAAAGGGAAGAAACTGAAATAATTAAAACAGTTCATCAAACGTTTCCCTATAGTTACAGTTTGTGTGCATTCGAAACACAGGAAAAATTAGAAAATCCATTAATTTTGCTATGTCTATATTTACTTTCATTCCCCATTTAGAATTGAAATTGAAGTTCCGGTGGCAGCTAGCCTGAATAATCACACAATTGAAAAAATATATTCCAATCAAGCTCAGTTCAGTATGATTTATTTCATTCGTGATTAAGCTTATAAAGTGTTTCTGAAATAAGTTTAGTGTTGATAATTCATTTACACTTAAGCCAGTGAAAGGGAATAGAGTGATGCGACGAAATGACTAAAAATGACTTTCGATTTTCAACTATTTCATGTATTTGTTTTAGTTCCAATTGTTCAAGAAAGATCTTCTAATTTCATATTTTTTTTAAACTTCTAATTCCTTAAATTACATTTGATAAAAATTGTTCATACTTTAATTTAAACAATTAAGTTGAAGATATGCTTTGCCTAACAGACTTGATGAAACCAAATAAAAATGCCAACATTTAAGAATACTTTTGATAACATTTCAAGGAATATTGAATTAAATTATCAATTCGACATTTTTGCATCATAAAGTGGAACATAACATTAATATTTCCTTATTCAAGCTAGCTATTTAAAATCAATGGAGTTTGAAAAGGTATCTTGAAACTTTATAAATGTGATGCAATTTGAATAACAGGTTCATCGATAAATCTAGTCCGGGATATATCGTTTTTGACGTAATAATGACACGAGATCAACGTGTTGAGTTAATATAAATCAAGCTGGATTTTTTTTGCAGTAGGCAATCAAGTTATCATTACATCTCGACTTTGATAGATACGTTAACTTACCTACAAATATTTGGTTTTGCACGAGGTCTACACTTACATAATACCTGTGAAATAGTTTTGCCTTGCATTGCTTAGATTTTTTTTTGTATCCTGTTAACCTTTTTTCAGAATAACTAAGCCAGGTTTGTGAGCGCCTTGTTCAATTTTATCAAGATGGTAATCCCTACTCACAATGTTTTTTACTTATACAAGAAATGCAATAACACACGTGTGATAATTTGACATTCTGAAAAATCATTATCATAGACTGAATACGGAAATTTGGGAGATAATTGAGTTATTTTAAAGTAAAATTAAATAAGCATTTAGTTGTGAATAATTATGCAGCAAGATCATCTTAAAACGAGCCATTCCCAAGTACCGTTACATAACAGGTAATATATGGTTGTCCGCTCAATTAATTAGAAAAGTGTAAGTCTTTAAACTATTTGAAATGTCATATTTCACTACAACACTTAAATAATATTTAAAAGTTCAATATAGTGTTTCTAGATACTTTGATTACAAAATGTATATTAATATTATATTACCACGTTTTTCAAGTTTGATAACAATTTCATCAAAATCCAATATTAGAAGAAGTGCAATCTTTCTTGGGCTGTTTAGATTCTTTAACAAACACCGATATTGTATTTTTCGACGACATATTTGTAGCCATATACGACTGCTTTTGCATCATTTATTGTTAAATCGTCCCCTTAGTGCAATAACTGATTAACTTTTATTAAATTTAGAAGGACTTATTCCGTTACTGCACCAAGGTGACAATATCTACCTTTATCTGATATTTAGGAGCAGAAGACTTACACGCTTTTAAGATATGTTTAAAATATATTGATTCAGATTTATCCAAAAACATAAACAATTACAGGAGAATTTTGATAATTCAAATGCTCAGATTGGATAAATCCTGATTAAGAAACATTCTTCGTAACGTATTAATAACAAGAGTGTTGTATGACTGTCAAATATCTTCTTTGAAAATTTGAAAAACTACCGTATTTACTTAACACTTGTAAATTAATGAAATTAGAAATGTAAAAAAAAGTCCACAAGAATATATTTACAAAAATAAAATGCAAGTAGTACTTCTTTTACAAAGAATAAAACTTCAAAGTACAATTGATTTAATAAAAATGAAAAAAAAAACACGAAAAATTTATACCATATGAAGAACTATGAAGCACATTTTTCCTTGTATTCAATCATCTTTACTCCAACCTTTAATTCTAGATTAATATAAAAATGAGATAATCGTTAGATATGAAACAGTTTTGGTGTATATTGGTATCGATGATTAAATATAAGGTAATAGTTAAATGAACAACTTTTCTTACGATCTTTGCATCTGCAGAAAACTGATATTCCAACGAAGTATTTAATAATAACAGATAAATTTGATTCTTTCGATTGAACTATAGAACAGGAATATGCACTTTTTATTTGATTATTTGTACTTACGACCAAATGTTTTCAATGTAGATAATGTTTTGAAATAACTGATTTTCTCTATTTTCAGAATAAATAGGTCACAGGATCATTTGCTAAAAGGAAAACACAAAAGTAATGATGCCAAGAGGCGTATGGTATATTATTGTATACAAGGGGAAAAAATCGACTCTTTGGAAAAAGTTGAAATTTTCAAGATACATCTACATAAAGCTGACATATAAGATATAAACTACTTTAAAATTGTTTTTTATAACTGATCTAAACAACCGAAAATGGAGACGAAAAAGAATATAACTATAGAAGAACTTGAACAACTTCAAAGATCAAATTATTTGCCGTTAACTGTTATCCTTGTTCTAATAATGCTCATTGGCATCGTTGGTAATATTCTTGTTCTTATAATTTATAAAAGGAAATTTACAAGATCAAGTGCAAGATGTTACATTCTTAGTCTAGCTTTTGCAGATCTAAGTGTCAGCGTGGTTGGAATACCATACCATGTTTTGGACTTGACATTTATTTTAACATACACTCACACAAACGTGTGTAGAATATTGAGTTTCTTTATTGGAGCATGTACTCTTAGTTCGGTATTTATTCTTCTTGTCGTTGGGCTGGATAGATATTTTAAGGTTTGCAGACCTTTGAAGAGACAAATAAAAGATTTTGGCGACAGAAAAGCATGTTTACTGGCTAGTTTTGTTGCCCTAGTGATATCCGTTCCTCATGGTATTATATACGGACAAAGTACCGTACAGACGCAAGTGGACAATCTGACCGGAGTGGAATGTTTTATTTCTGACGGATATCAAGGCTCGGAGTTAGCTGTTGGCTATCTAGGGTTTAACATGTTAGTTTTTGTGATGTCGGTAATATTTCTCGTCATTATTTATGGATTTATTTGCCGAAAGATTTACCACCATGATCGAATGTCGGGGGAGATAACCTTAGAAAAGACAAAAACATTTTGTTTTTGTTGCGCTGTACCGAGTCAAGAAGATGAGTCGACAGGTAAAAATGGTACAAGTGGTATGGACAAAGGCAAAGCTGATGACATTGACGAGACGGATACAGATCCCCAATGTGTTGTAAAGGAATCGGAGATAGAAAATGCAGAGGGGGAACTTTTGAAGTCAAAACTTAATGATATAAGAGGCAATCAAAATTCCAAAGGAGCTGCACGAAATAGTTGTGCAATGGTACGTCACGTAAGACCGGGATCTAAAGCGGTAGAAAAGAATACTATGAAGATCACTTTAATGATGTTGACTATTACAGTAGTATTCATTATTTCTTATCTTCCGTTTATTATAATTTCAATTTTAGATTCAACAGATGAAGACTTCTGGGCAGATCGCGGTATTATAGAATCTGTATTTCTTGATTTCATGTTAAGATTATATCTTGTTAATAACGTAGCCAATCCAGTCATATACAGCTTTTGGGACCATAGATTTCGTAAGGAAACAAAGTTGCTACTCAAGAAACTAACTTGTTGTTTTAAACAGAAAGGCGGGGATAATGCAGACAATGGAAACGGTAATAGTGCACTAGCGACATCAGTAGGATTTTCGAAGTGTACTGAAGCAGTTACCTTGAAGTAGTGAATTTTGCGTATACTGAACCTTTCGTTTATGTATCTTTAATATGTCCATGTACATATTGGTTTGTTTATGATGAAATTATTAAGTATATAAATATTGTAGGACGTTTGCTTGGAGGAAGCAAACGTTTTAAAAGACTTTTAATGAAAATCAAGTCTATAAATTAAAAGATTTTTATCACCCTTACCTTTGTTTGAAACCTTGTCTTTGTATATGGGAACTTTTTAGACTTGGTAATATAAAATACAAAGAAGCCAATGTTAACTTTTTTTAGCTATTTAGTTACTAAGATAACTTTGTACAATTTAGTTACTAAGATAACTTTGTTTGTACATTGTCCATTTCAGCCATTTTATTCAATGCTTGCTTATTTATTTTAAATGAAAGATGATTTGTAATATGTTAATAAAGCTTTTACGTTGTAGATAAATGTTGTACAATATCATCACTTCTTTTCAGCGTCAAGGTGAAGATTGCTTCGGAAGTTCATTGAATAATTATTGTTTATTCCAAAGGTTATATAGTGCGGACATGAAGTAAAATAATATGTATATCATTTCCTAACATGCTTGATTCATGTTTTGGTAACAACAAATAAAATTGATTGATTTTGCTTGGAATGTTGATTGTTTAAAAAACTGCAAAATCTAGTTTTGAAATTTTCACGTATTTATATACAGTTGACTCTCGGTAACTCGAAATCCAAGGGACTGGGCATTTTACTTCGAGAGAAACGGAATTCGAGTAATGTGGAACTACCGCCATTACGTTGACATTCGTACATGTATATACATGTGCCTGATTGAATGTGTAAAGAAGTAGGTTGTTATTGTTGTTAGCGGCAATGCTGCAATATTTGATCGGTATATAACTTACAACTACAAATTATAAATGAACCAAAACATATCTTTCAAAATTTAATACATGTATATTAATAGTGAAACATAAACACACAATTATATTTGATTTAATTGAGCATCGGACGAAAATGAAATAAGCAACTATCGTGAACCGGAAGTACAAATTAATTATACAAATGTTATTTACGTTGATAACACACATCAATACCTAGGCTTTTATTTGACTAACACCCGTCAGACTGGCACGAGTCAACTTTCTTAAAGCAATGTAATTAAATTTTACTTTAGTTATCTAACTGTTAAAACCAATTAAGTCCTGAAACGGATTAAAGCCTTTTTTACGACGTGTTAATAATACATGATGACCAGCAATTAAAAATTACCATGAAACGTGTAAATCACGAGTGACAACGTCTAACCATGATGTCGCCGACCTTTGATCAGTCGGCTGTTTTCACACTTCGACAAATTGAGATGAAAATATGTTGTACTTTAATTGACGGGACCAAATTTTCTTTTCGATTAAACAGGAGTCTCGGTAAGTCAAAATTTGACCTAAGCGGAGTTAAAATACAAAGATAAAGAAGGAAATTTGACGGGACTTTAGAAATTATTCGACTAAGGCGGAATTTTGAGTAAAGCGATTTTGACTTATTGAGAGTATGTTCAATATAGTGATGATGAATTAAGAATAAAAGTTGAATTCTGAGCTGCAATATATTTAGATATATATGTAAAATCTGAACTCTTGACATGGGATACAGGTTATTGACAATGTTCACCTTTAAATTGTTTGTCTCTGATAAAATTTAATTGGCATTATTAAATGTCTTCCCTATCAGATAAATTGTTGCCAGAATTTCTTACATTACTGCTTGCGTGTTTTAAAGATAAATTAATTACATTTGAACGTTGTGTCAGATAAAAATAAGATTAAAATATCTGCTGCACTTTAAAGATACATATATCTGGACCTTTTAAATTATACTATTACTGATTTTTTTTCTGAGGATTCTAACTAAAGTGATATTTATGTTAAATATGTGTTTCCACCTTTCTCCCCACATGTGTGAAAATGTCAAATGTTAAATAACAATGTAAACATTTACAGATAAAGTTTTAGGAACAGATTTGCGTATCATATCCATAGAACTTTGCGCGTCATTCCATTGCCAATCTTCGGACATGTAATCTAAAGATTACTGGCTGCGTGTTATTGAAACCCCGTCAGGGCCATACCGTTGGTTTTTGAGCACGAAAGTTTACAGTGAAACACTTGATATGTTGGAAGAAATAATCACTTCAATCATGCATTATGCTGAAAGTTGCACTTAAATGTTTTCTGTCAGATACACAGTTGGTTTAAACATATTTCTTTAAGCTCGAATGCGAAATAAGTTATTGCAACTTATATTAATCACTTTCGAGTCAGCTTCCTGGAACCAACAATTTTTGGTGTCATTTGAAGAAACATGGTCGTGACCCGAGTAGGGCTCGAACCCACGATCTCTGGGTTGAGAGGCAGACACCTTAACCACTAGGCCACCGCTCCCAGTTGTTTGTTTGGTTTGTTTTACTGAAAGAAAATAAATTATACTAATCTGTCACATATATCTATATTGTTATGTCAACAATTTGACGTTGATATTTTTTTTTTATTATAATTTATTGAACAAAAGGAAATGCAAACATAATTGAAAGGAAAATGTTATGAAATTGATACATTGTTAATTGTATTGCATTATCAATATAACTATACGAGTTTATGGAAATCAAACATTGGTTTGTGACAGCACAATCAAGATCAATGTGTGTGCATGTATGCAAATAACCAGCAGTAATATAACAATTACAATAATTTAAAATGTCTTCATCGAACCTTTTAACTTGCTTCTGTATGGCTTGATGTTGTAAAAGTTACATTAATTGAACTCTGCGCGTCATTCCATTGCCAATCTTTGGACAAGTAATCTAAAGATTACTGGCTGCGTGTTATTGAAACCCCGTCAGGGCCATACCGTTGGTTTTTGAGCACGAAAGTTTACACTCGTTGCTAAGTACTGGTTGGTTCAACGAACGGACTCGAAAGTGTTTTTATTTAATGTAGACGCAACTGGATCAATTAAAACATATATTTATAGTTATCGTTAAATATAAACAGTTACATATGTTACTATTGTAAGCTTCAACTTCTATTTAATTGATAATGACGAGATCTGCATCGAATACAAAAAAAAGAAGAAATTCTGACAGCTTTGTTGATTAGAATAAATGTCTACCGCATGAGTGCACATTTGAGTGATCGACAACAAAAGGTGATGGCATCATTCTCTGAAGAGGTTATAAGAAACAATTTATGTGTCGATGATGTGAAATCCATTAACAGCACTCTTTTCTTGAACAAATATCAGATTGTCATACACATCTTAGCGGAGTCCAGAACATATTTGAACGAGCTTTTGAGTTATTTGTGGTTCGTGTAGGCCATATCTTTAGAATATCGTATTGGTTAAAACACACTTTGCTTCAGAAATGTTGAAATGGTAACATCTATAGAAATTACAAATATGCGTTTCATAATGTTTTTAAAATTGAGTAAAAACATAAGAGATGAATGTCACCTGAGGGAAGTTGCGTTGAATTTGTGATCAAGGGGTATAGCAAACTGTAAACAAAGTTGTATTTTGACTGCCATGGAAATAAGCAAATCACTATAAAGTGTACTAATTTCCAAAACGTAAGAAAGCAGAATATGGCTCAGTTATATAGGCAATTAATAACTATTTGAAAAACAAATCTTAAAGGTTTTTGAATATAAAAAATGATAGCATTTTGAGGGTACATTGGCCTATGTATATCATTGTTCTACACGGATGTTTTCAATGAACATTTTTGTATGTATGTTCAATACAAATGAGAATAGTTTCAACAACATTTGTTCTATGAAATAATCAGTTAAAATGTTTAGCATAATTGGTATTATAAGTAATTCAACTGAAATAGATATGATTTTCTTGATATATACAGAGAGACTTCAAGAAGTATTCAGTGGACCGATAATAAATAGTATGTTTAGCAAACTAATTGATCGATTTATCTGCTACGAATCATTTGAAAGACTGTTTAAACAATGTCTTTGTTAGAACTATCTTTAACATGGTAATAGTGATAACTTTAAGATCATGTATCGAATAATAATGCAATATACTGTTGAAGAGGACATTGTCCCTTTATGGGGTGCCTACCATCTATTTATATACATTGTGCTTCCTAGAGCTGCATATAATGAAATATAATGTACACGGCGGCTGTTGTGAAATTATGAAAAAATCTCACCATTCTTTTCTAAGAAAGGAAGTTTGGTGTATTATAAATTCATTATAGATATTACTTACAGGTTATATGGCCGTATATCAACAGTTGTTATAACCCGAGCCGATCAACAAATTATATAATGCCATATAACCTGTCAAGAAATCTTTATAACTAAAATAATATATGCCCTTTATACCTGTACTGAAACAGTTTTTCTAGTGCAAATAAATAATTGGTTAGGGATAGTGATACTCTGAATCATTGCAAATGCGGGTTATTTCCCAGCTAATACCATGGTACAAATATTTTTACGCTATCATTATGGTAAATATATATAGATAAGAAACACAGCGCGTTGACCATTCTATTGAGAACGGATGTGCACCATGAATCTACACTCTTTTAAGCTTGTTTGTACCCGTGATCAGATAAAATAAAACTTTTGTCGACTTACGAATATCATCTTTAAATGATCTACTTAAAATATTTGTATTGAATTTTCAGGTTTATATAATCAAACTCATGTATAATTATTAAGGAGGTGAAAGGGAGTGCATCTGTCTTAGAAGAACCACATTCATCTATAACAATGATATATTTAACTCATTGTGTTTTTGTATTATGGTCATATTTTCCTTTTGCTTTATTTAGGCAACATGTCAAAAACGTAAGAGAAAGTTATAGGTGCACGGTCTCTTAGCACCCCAACACCGATTTTAAGTTTCAGAAATGTATAACAACGTTAAAGCAAATCAAGAAGCACAGGAATTCACTATCATTATTAGCATGTACTTTATCTTGTTATATTAATGTTTTACCATTTTAAGGCACTGCTTAATAAAAACGAAAATCCTACATTTTCAAGTTGTTCATTTTTGTCTTCATAATTGTAATAAATGTCTGAGTTACTTTGTGTTGAAATTACAGGAATTATCTATACAGACATAAAAACAACTGAAGCATTCTCTTGTTAATTGAAAAATTCTTAAAACAAGTGTTTTCCTCGATAACATTTTATTTTATATTTATATATGTAATTAGGCAGGGCATTATTTTAGAATATAAGATGGTATATAAAAACATTTTAAGGCACTGCTTAAATAAAAACGAAAATCCTACATTTTCAATTTGTTCATTTTTGTCTTGATAATTGTGATAAATGTCTGAGTTACTTTGTGCTGAAAATTTATTTGAGCAATTACAGGAGGAATTATCTATAAAGACATAGAAACAACAGAAGCATTCTCTTGTTAATTGAAAAAATCTTAAAACAAATGTTTACATCGGTAACATTTTTTATATTTATATGTGTAAATAAGCAGGGCATTATTTAAGAATATGAGATGGTGTAAAAAACATTTTAAGGCACTGCTTAATAAAAACGAAAATCCTACATTTGCAATTTGTTCATGAACGACTTTGTTCTGATCATTTTAAT